AAAATGACTCTTAAACTGCCGGAAAGTTCTTCCTGCTGTTTAATCTCCTTTCTTGTAACCTGAAGCCATGGGTTCGAGTCCTACCAACTGGAGCTGGAGAAAACAAGCTTGCTCCATCATCCATGTGGCAACCCTTCAGTTATTTAAAGATGGGTATCCTATCCCTAGGGACCTGGGTGGCGCTGTGGGTTAAACCACAGAACCTAGGGCTTGCCGATCAAAAGGTTGGCGGTTCGAATCCCCACAACGACGGGGTGAGCTCCCGTTGCTCGGTCCCTGCTCCTGCCAACCTAGCAGTTCGAAAGCACGTCAAAGTGCAAGTAGATAAATAGGTACCGCTCCGGCGGGAAGGTAAACGGCGTTTCCGTGCGCTGCTCTGGTTTGCCAGAAGCGGCTTAGTCATGCTGGCCACATGACCCGGAAGCTGTACGCCGGCTCCCTTGGCCAATAAAGCGAGATGAGTGCCACAACCCCACAGTTGGTCACAACTGGACCTAATGGTCAGGGGTCCCTTTACCCTTTACCTTTACCTCCGATCTCCTCTCAGTCTCCTCTTTTCCAGGCTAAACATCCCCAGCTCCTTCAACCGTTCCTCATAAGGTTTGGTTTCCAGACCCTTGATCATCTTGTTTGCCCTCCTTTGCACGCCTTCCAGCTTGACCTAAAAGCATTCTGGATCTTTCAAAAGAAACACATGGTTTGCATGTATCCCCACCCCCCGGTAGCTAAAGCCCATATGTTCTTATATACCACACAGCCAAATGCAGATTTTTCTAGGTTTTCCATTCCCAGGCTCCTAAAATCCTAGCTGCAGCCGTGTCACAACCTCTTCAAAGTGACAAGCATTCGTGCCATCCATCGACAAAGGATAGCTCAGTTGGTAAAGCATGAGACTCCTTATCTCAGGCCATGAGTTCGAACCCCACATTGGGCAAAAAGATTCCTGCATTGCCAGCTGTTGACCCTCATGGTTCCTTCCATCGCTCTGATTCCGTTGTTGTGAGTCGAGGACCCGCCCCGCCCCCCCCGAGGATAAGAAAGACACCAGGACGCAGTATAATAGGTTAATGGGCAAAAAAAGGCCACGACTTGATTGATTACAACATGTGAGTGGTATTGGCTTAAAGGTAAAGGGACCCCTGACCATTAGGTCCAATCGTGGCCGACTCTGGGGTAGCGGCGCTCATCTCGCTTTACTGGCCGAGGGAGCCGGCGTACAGCTTCCGGGTCATGTGGCTAGCATGGCTAAGCCGCTTCTGGCGAACCAGAGCAGCGCACAGAAACGCTGTTTACCTTCCCACCGGAGCGGTACCTATTAATCTACTTGCACTTTGACGTGCTTTTGAACTGCTAGGTGGGCAGGAGCAGGGACCGAGCAATGGGAGCTCACCCCGTTGCAGGGATTCGGACCACCGACCTTCTGATCGGCAAATCCTAGGCTCAGTGGTTTAAGCCACAGCACCACCCGCGTCCTGGTATTGGCTTAGGCATTGGATAAAACAACAGAGTGTGACTCCACCCCCTCAGGAAGGGGTGAGTCTAACAAGGGTTAACCACCAGTGGGAGGAGCCTGTTGATGCAAATACAACTGTAAGCTCCCCCTGATGTCACCGGGGGTCGTGCAATGGCCCTAGCCACCAGCAAGGGCGTCGGACAGGATCCATGACCGCCGGATTCCTTTAATGGAATACCCAAAAAGTGGAGGGGTAGGCGATGGCCACACCCTGCCCTCCAATACACAAACATATTCCAATGCCTAACCGCCAATACCCGAAAAGTTGTGGCGATTTGCTACGAGATAGGTGAAAAACGTGGGTGGCAGGACGCGGGTGGCTCTGTGTGTTAAACCACAGAGCCTACGACTTGCCGATAAGAAGGTCAGCGGTTTGAATCCCACAACGGGGTGAGCTCCCGTTGCTCGGTCCCTGCTCCTGCCAACCTAGCAGTTCGAAAGCACGTCAAAGTGCAAGTAGATAAATAGGTACCGCTCCGGCAGGAAGGTAAATGGCATTTGCGTGCACTGCTCTGGTTCGCCAGAAGCGGCTTAGTCATGCTGGCCACATGACCCGGAAGCTGTACGCTGGCTCCCTTGGCCAATAAAGCGAGATAAGCGCCACAACCCCAGAGTCGGCTACGACTGGGCCTAATGGTCAGGGGTCCGTTTACCTAGACGAAAAACCAAGTGGCCGGTGCCAATTTGCCAGTTGGATAAAATTCCTACCAGGCTCCTTGGGCCACCAACGCGACCAACCACAGGTCCATAGCAAGGTCAAGAACAAAACAATGAACTAAAGGGAGGGTGGGTGGGTGACCCGCCGAAGCCCAGCAGCGCAATGAGGGGGAAGCGCTGCCACAGCCGCATTTGAGCAGCTAAACCCCGCCCCCAAGCCTCCGCCTGATTGGTTGGCTGCCAGGGGGCGTGGCACAGCAGCCGGGACAGCTGAGCAGGGGCCGGAACCCCCCCCCTGCTAACGCGGGAAACGGCTCCCGCTCACAGCACCTCCCCTCTGGAAAGAGGAGAGGTTTTCTGTGACCTGTTCAGTCATTGCAGTTGAGGGAAAGCCTGAGCCGGTGGTCTAATGACTTCAGAGATTTCTTGGTATTTTAAAAAGGTAAAGGGACCCCTGACCATTAGGTCCAGTCGTGATCAACTCTGGGGTTGCGGCGCTCATCTCGCTTTATTGGCCGAGGGAGCTGGCGTACAGCTTCTGGGTCATGTGGCCAGCAGGACTAAGCCGCTTCTGGTGAACCAGAGCAGCGCACGGAAACGCCATTTACCTTCCCACTGGAGCGGTACCTATTTATCTACTTGCACTTTGTGCTTTTGAACTGCTAGGTTGGCAGGAGCAGGGACCGAGGAACGGGAGCTCACCCCATCGCGGGGATTTGAACTGCCAACCTCCTGATCAGCAAGCCCTAGGCTCTGTGGTTTATACCACAGCGCCACCCGTGTCCCTCTTGGTATTTTAGGGGATCAGAATAATGAGACCTGAACGCATTTCCGCTAAAGATGGGGAGAATGTTCCTCAGAGCTCACAACCCCACCAGCAATCCTCACTTCATTGCGATGACCTCTGTAAAGATCACTTGACCTTGTGGGGGACACGACGGAGCTGAGTGTTGGGACATCCAGGACAGGAATGATGGAGAACTTACTCACGCAGTGCAGTTAACCTGTGGAACTCCCTGCCACAGGAGGCAGTGACGGCCATCAGACTTGGATGGCTTTAATAGAGGATTGGACAGATTCATGGAGGGGGGGCTATCTAGGGCTACTAGCCAGGAGCGCTATGCTCTGCAGGCAGCAGTGCTTCTGAATGCCAGAAACTGCAGGGAGGGAGACAGATCTGGTGCTAGGATCCTGCCTGCAGACTTCTCATTGGGGAATCTGGTTGGCCACTGTGAGAACAGGATGCTGCTGGGCCACTGGCCTGATCCAACAGGTAATAATAATAATAATAATAACTTATTAATTATACCCCACCCATCTGGCTGAGTTTCCCCAGCCACTCTGGGCGGCTTCCAATTGAGTGTTAAAAACAATACAGCATTATTATTATTATTATTATTATTATTATTATTATTCCTAGCTGAGACCCTTCTTATGGAATACAGCAGTACCTCGGGTTACATACGCTTCAGGCTACATACGCTTCAGGTTACACACTCCGCTAACCCAGAAATAGTGCCTCGGGTTAAGAACTTTGCTTCAGGATGAGAACAGAAATCGGCAGTGCGTGAGCGGTGGGAGGCCCCATTAGCTAAAGTGGTGCTTCAGGTTAATAACAGTTTCAGGTTAAGAACGGACCTCTGGAACGAATTAAGTACTTAACCTGAGGTACCACTGTATTCCCTTGCGTATGATGACACAGATTGAAAAGGCTTAGGGAAACAGTATTTGGAGGAGGAAGAGGAGGAACAGTAGGACTTTCTTTTGAGGAAACTTGTGAAGGATCCAGCTTCAAAGAGAATGGAAGTAAAAGAATCAAACATACTGATTGGGGGGAAAGCAGCATTGCACCCAAAGAGGAATCTTGACTTATTTTTTTTATGAAACAAACAAAACCCTTCAGTCTTTGAGCTGCAAAAAAAAAAGTTAGCGGGTGTTCATCCAATGGAGTTCTCTGCTTGGAAACCCAGAGAGCAATCTTGCAACCACAGCTTTGAGAATGCAGGAATGGACACTTTGAATTGTGCTGCTAATACTCTGAGGCTGCCACAGGGATGGAATGAGAAGCCATATTTAGAACCAATGCAAATATGGGCAGGAACGGGATTCCCCGGGTCTGCAAAACTCAATTTCCAAATCACTGTTGGCTAAGATCAACGCTTCATTCACAGTCCTGGAGCAAATGTGCAATGTGAAAGAAATAACAGCTATCCTTCAAATGGGGAGGGCAGGAATTGCCCTTATCTGAATTTTGCAATGCAGTTGTCCGAGAAATATTGTGTGGAAAAAAAGAATTAGGGCAGTGTGTGCTTTGCGGTGTGAAAAGTGTGCAAAGCAGTGTGTGCTTTGCACTGGTGAAAATTACCTGATGCCCTATCATATTGCAAAACGTTGCTTTGCAAGAAAATGCGTCTGTTAGTTAAACCCCATGCAAACATTTGTATATTGGGAGAAATTTGCACCAGAAATATTGTATATTGGGAGAAATTTGCACCAGAAATGCTGCCCAGCTTTCACAAGGATATACATATATCGCTGGGCAGATGAGGAGAACGGAATTTAAAATGAGAAACCAAAATCAACAAGTTCTCATCCATTTTGGATCCACATTTAAGGCGACAGTTTACAACTGAAATATACCCAGTCGAGTGCAAAACTCTTCCATCCTCTGTGGCAGCCTGCAGTGGGCAGAGATTGGGCACGTGGGGGGGTCCTATTGTAGCCCCACCCTCACGGTTATGTGTGGGGCAGGCCAAGGGCGGACAGGAAAAAGCCAAGAAGGTTTTGATGGAGACTTCCCCCCCCCTCCTTTTACTCTCTTTCGGCTCAGATACCATGACAAGCAAGACGTGACCAGCAATTTCCTGGGGGCCATGTGGTTGATCTCCATCACCTTCCTTTCCATCGGCTACGGGGACATGGTCCCACACACTTACTGCGGGAAAGGAGTCTGCCTGCTCACTGGGATTATGGTAAGGTACCACTTGCAGCCTGTATCTTTCCTGCTGATGCACAGATTACCCTTTGTTTCTTCCATTTCCCTGCTCTTCCTCCCCTGTGTGTTCTGCCTTTCAGCTTATAAGTCTTCTTTTTTCCTCTTCCCTCCCTGTACCTCTTTCCTTTCATGCCATGCCTTTCAGATTGCCTTTCAGAGACTGCCTTGCTTTGATTTCAGGTGTAGGTCAGCGATTTAAAACAACAGCAACATGGTGTCTGTGAAGTTAACTCTTTACTCAAAACACCGCAGGCTTGGTGACCCAAGGAACTCTTCCCAGTAGGTCTTGCCCCAATGAGACAGTTGCAAGTAATGAAGGTCCCCACCTTCCCACAACCATCTAAGTCCTCTCCAGGGTTTTTCTCAAGCAGTTGCAAACTGAGGCTGGATTGACACTGACCTGTCATTAGATATACAGTGGTACCTCGGGTTACAGATGCTTCAGGTTACATACGCTTCAGGTTACAGACGCTTCAGGTTACAGACTCCGCTAACCCAGAAATAATACCTCGGGTTAAGAACTTTGCTTTAGGATGAGAACAGAAATTATGCTCCGGCGGCACAGCAGCAGCAGGAGGCCCCATTAGCTAAAGTGGTACCTCAGGTTAAGAACAGTTTCAGGTTAAGAATGGACCTCCGGAATGAATTAAGTTCTTAATCCGAGGTACCACTGTACCGTTCTAAAACGTCACAGGGCATACTTGTAAATTGGATTGTTTTGTTTTCGTTTATATAATTTTTATTAAATTTTCTGTTTTACAATTTAGACTATTCATTTAAACAACCTTAAAATACAGTGGTACCTCGGGTTACATACGCTTCAAGTTACATACGCTTCAGGTTACAGACTCCGCTAACCCAGAAATAGTGCTTCAGATTAAGAACTTTGCTTCAGGATGAGAAAGAAATCGTGCTTCGGCAGCGCGGCGGCAGCAGGAGGCCCCATTAGCTAAAGTGGTGCTTCAGGTTAAGAACAGTTTCAGGTTAAGAACAGACTTCTGGAACGAATTAAGTACTCAACCCGAGGTACCACTGTATAAGATTTACAGAAGATTGGAAGAAACATACGATTTATTTAAAGAAAACTATAATCAACAAATTATGCTAGTAGGACTACAAGAAGCTTTGTAAGGAGAAATGTATGAAGCATTGCAAAGTAGAGGAAGAATAGAGATATTCGTTACGAATTAAATGTAATTGTGGAAGTAAGAAATGTGTGTTTAGTGAATAGACGAAAATTTTCAGATGTGATTGATGGAAGTAAAAAAAATATGATATAAGATATGAAAGTATGTTTAATTACTGTTGAAAATGATATGCTGAAAAACTAATAAAAAAATTATTTTAAATATATATATATAAGTCCACCCCTTAGAGATTTTGGTAATTGAGTGGCATGTTACTAACTTAAATGAAAATATGGCGCACACTGCAGTGTCCTTGGATATGGCTCACTTCTCCCTTCTCCTTCAGCAGGCAGTCATCCAACTGTTTTGGCTTTCCCTATTCTAACCCACCCTCTTCCTTGTCCTGCAGGGTGCGGGCTGTACAGCTCTCGTGGTTGCCGTGGTCGCCAGGAAGCTCGAACTGACCAAAGCGGAAAAGCACGTCCACAACTTCATGATGGATACACAGCTATCAAAGCGGGTAAGAGGTCCCTCAGCCCCAATCCTCAACATAGGCAGAGTGCGGGTGGTAGTCAACCCTTGTCCTGCTCAAGAGTAAACCCATTGTGGGTCATGGACATGAAGAACTTGAGCCAATCCATTTTCCGTGGGTCATCTCCAATGCTGGTCATACTCAGAGTAGACCCATTGAATTCAGTGGGCATGAGAACGTGAGGACCATGAATTTCAATGGGTCTCTACACAGAAGATCTTTACTTAGAGGATAATTCAAGAAACAACCTCGTCTACCGTGGTTTTATAAAACGCACAGGATTGCTGTTCCAAAAGTAATTCCTTGTAGCGGCCGTTCAGAGAATCAAGACTTGACTCTGTGAAAACAGTAATATTTATTTATTTCATAATATGCATGCACCCCTTAATTGTTTTTTAAAAAACCCTCAAAGCAGTGTGTGTGTGTGTGTATCACAATAAAATGATCCGATAAGGAAAATTAATAGCAATGATTTAAAGTTAAAAATAAACTAAAAACAGATTAAAACTCGCACCACCTTTCTAAATATCTGGATGGCAAAAATCTCTTTAGCAGACGCCAATAAGGGTACTGGGATATCAGAAGGCAGGGAGTTCCATAGTGTAGATGCTGACACACTAAAAGACCGAGTTCTTAATTAACTCCGAATGCAGTGGTACCCCGGGTTACATACGCTTCAGGTTACAGACTCCGCTAACCCAGAAATAGTGCTTCAGGTTAAGAACTTTGCTTCAGGATGAGAACAGAAATTGTGCTCCGGCGGCGCTGCAGCAGCAGGAGGCCCCATTAGCTAAAGTGGTGCTTCAGGTTAAGAACAGTTTCAGGTTAAGAACGGACCTCCGGAACGAATTAAGTACTTAACCCAAGGTACCAGTGTAGTTAGCTTTCTTAAGACATGGGTGCAACTTAGCATCTTCACAAACAATCCTCCATGGGGTCAAACCTGGATTGGTTGGTGATAATTGAGAGCGATCGCAATGGGAGCAAGGTAGGATTGGTCAGAGACTGTGCCGTCACGAACTCCAGAGAGCCTATTTTTTGGGAAGAGCGCCGCTCACCTCCTCAGACTTCTCCTGCCTGTCTGATGCCCATCTCCTTTTCTTTCCCCCTTTCCCCCTTCCCCTCCCCAACCCCCCAGGTGAAGAATTCTGCCGCCAACGTACTCAGGGAAACGTGGCTGATCTACAAGCACACCAAGCTGGTGAAGAAGATTGACCATGCCAAAGTACGGAAACACCAGCGTAAGTTCCTCCAAGCCATCCATCAGTAAGTCAAACATGTTTACCTGCTTCAACCCCCTCCCCCCCCCAGTGCCTGCTGCTTCCTGCTCCCACCCACCCACCCTCCATCCCCCTGTTCTGTTGTCCAGGTCTCTCCCTGACTTGGGGGTCCCTGCCTGAAAGGAGGAGAATCCGCCCCACTAAATAGGATGCACCGTTCAATCGTTGCAAAAATCTGCTGCTAGCTGGGGGTGGCATTGGGTTGTTATACGAAACCTACCCGTATCGTGTGGGAATGTTCAGGGATGCAGGAGAGGATATATTGTCTGATGATAGCCTTTCCAACTTGTGTAAACAAGTTCACAATTTAGCGGAGTAACATTCCCCTTTTTAGACTCACAGCGGATGCGTTTGCTCAGGCTCGCTAAAGCCTCTATAATAACTGTTCTGGTATTTCCCCCTTATTCCCTCATAAAAGATAAGACACGACACAGTCTTCTATAAAAGTATAAAAAGAGTTTACTCACATTCTGTTCACAATCAGATCCCAGAAGGCAGACTTAGCTTAGCAAAGTAACATACACCTGGAAACTATCCCACAAAGAGACAGTCCCTTTGTCCTCTCTTGGCCAAGAGAGCATCTTTGGCTAAGCCGATGTTGCTTCTTCGATGCATGTAGTCAAAGAGAGAGAGATGGCTGCCCTGCCCTGTGCTTTTGTCGTTACCTGCACAGGTGAGGCCACGCCCACCTCTAGTCACATGCAGAGGAAGTCTGTCCCAGCCCAGAAGGAAACAGGAAGTTGACCTGCTGGCTGGACAAACATTCCTCCCCAGGTGTAAACATGTTCACTCTAGGAATGTTGTACTTGACTGCTCTTGTGTTTCACATCCCACATATCGGAGGTCTGTGTGAGAATGTTGTGGATAGTAGGAGAGGGTATATTGATTAAATATTATCCTTCCTCACCCACACTAGTGAGTCAGTAGCAGAGTCCATTTCCCCCAGTATACATCAGGAAGCTAGTTGGTAGATTCGTTTGCATCTCTTTACTTAATCAGTCCAATCTGGCTTGTCCAGACTGGGTTCGATCCTGGTAAATTCCCCTTTATTCCCTCTTAAAACAATAAGGACCACAACAGTCTTCTTTCAAAAGTAATGATAAGAAGTTTACTTACATTCAGTTCACAGTATGATCCTGAAGGAAGGCTTTAGCTTTTAGCTGCAGAAGAGAGTGTGAGTTTATCCCATATGGGGACTGAGCCCATGTGCTGCTGGCTGAGAGCCAGCAGAAAACAAAAAGACATCAAGAGAAGATCAAGAGAAGAAGAGAAGGAAGATGACTGTGTGACCAGCCCTTTTATGAGGTCTCCTAGGGTCATGCCCATCTACCTGGTCACACGAAGGGGGAGGATGCTCCAGACCAGGTGTCACAGGAAGTCCTCCTGGCTGGAGCAACATCCTCCTGTGTGTCCACTCTGGGCAAACAGGAAGTGTTGTACTTGACTGCTTTCTGTAATGTTACATCCCACAGTCTGCGCCACTTTGATTTGGAGCCACATACTGGCCTTGTCCACATCTAGGTACTGCCATCGCTCCCTTGGAGAAGACTCAAGAAACCATAACTGTCATGGGAAAGGTTAGGTTCATTCTGTGGGAATGTTGAGGGAGGCAGGAGAGGATTGTTTTTGTTCAGTCGTTTAGTCGTGTCCGACTCTTTGTGACCCCATGGACCAGAGCACGCCAGGCACTTCTGTCTTCCACTGCCTCCCGCAGGAGAGGATATATTGTTTAATTATATCCTTCCCAACTTGTGTTAGCAAGTTCTATAATTTAGCAGAGTAACATTTCCCTTTTTAAATTTGTACAGCGGATAACGTCTTTGCCAGGCTTGTATAAGCCTCTAAAATAAGTTTCCTCATAATTCCCCTTTATTCCCTCATAAAACAGACACGACACAGTCTTGTATAAAAGTATAAAAGAGTTTACTCACACACATTCTGTTCACAGATGGATCCCAGAAGGCAGACTTAAAGTTACAAAATATATACACTTGGAATCTATCCCATAAGGAGATAGTTCCTTTGTCCTCTCTTGGCTGCAAGCCAAGATGCCAAGAGAGCTTCTCAGGCTAAAAAGATGTTGCTTCTTCAAGGAATGGAGTCAGAGAGAGAGATGGCTGCCTCCCCTGTGCTGTTTTGTTACCTGCACCGGTGAGGCCACGCCCACCTCTGGTCACATGCAGAGGAAGTCTGTCCCAGTCCAGGAGGAAACAGGAAGTTCCGACTGGCTGGTCCAGACATCCCCTTTTATGTTCACTCTAGGAATGTTGTATTTGACTGCTCTGTGTTTCACATCCAAATATAACAATGTAGAGCAATGGTTCCCAAACTTTTTGGGGGGACCTCACCCACTTGCTTCCACAAATGCACCCCCAGGGCTTCCTACCTCTACCATACAAAAAGCAGAACAGCGGTTTGCACGAACCACTAATAGTGGGGTGGGAGAGTTAAAAAAAATAAAATCACATCTGGTAAGCAATGTGTCCCTTTGGTTTCAGATAGTACATGAGAAGATGAGTCTAAAAAGTCCGGGACGCAAATTTTCACGGCCCTCTAGTGAATATGGTGGCTCATTTACCAGAAGTAATCCATTTCCACACGCTCCAACATTTCTCCCGTGAAAATAGGGATGTCCTAAGGGAAAGCGGAGCATTCTGGGATCAAATCAGAAACCAGGACGGCTTCTGACTGTGCCTGGAAAATAGGGGGACTTGGAGGGTCTGGTTTTTAGTGTATATTTGGAAGTATATACTCGATTCTGACCAAACATAGCCTCTCAGAGCAAAATATACATAGGAGAGTTGGTTTGGGAAAGTACCATATTTTTCGCTCCATAAGGCGCACCTGACCATAATGCGCACCTAGTTTTTAGAGGGGGAATTTAAGGGGGGGGTTATTTAAAGGGAGCGCTAAGCAGAGCCTGTATGCATCCCAGGCTCTGCTCAGCGCTCCCTTTCACGAGCTGCGCGGAGTGTATGTGTGTGACTCTTGGGGGCTTTTCCCCGAGGAAATGCCCCCACCCACTCCATGCAGCTCTTTAAAGGGAGCGCAGTTCTTGCGGGCTTTTGCGGGGGGTGGGGGAAGTGAGAAAGCCTCGCTCTGTCACTCCCCCCACCTCCCGCAAGAGCCACACATTCTTTAAAGGGAGCACAGCTCTTGGGGGCTTTTGCGGGAGGCGGGGGAAGCGCTCTCTCTAGCTGTTCTGGCTTCTGGGGTAGCCCGTAAAATCTCTGCAGGGCAGCAGGAAGGCTTCGCGGGCTACCCCAGAGCTGCTTTAAAGAGCATGCGGCTCCTGCGGGCTTTTCTATGAGGAGGGAGAAGGGACTGACTGGCCGCAAGAGCCATGTGGAGCTTGTGTGCAGCTCTCGGGGACTTTTCCTGCCTGCCTCCCCCTTGCATTCGCTCCATAAGACGCACACACATTTCCCCTTACTTTTTAGGAGGGAAAAAGTGTGTCTTATGGAGCGAAAAATACAGTAACTATATCTGGGGTAAGGCAATATTGCCGGTGGTTGAGTGCCATTAGACAAGGATATAGATACATGCAAGAAATTGCAAGCTTCCTCTGCATCATGGTCAGTGGGTCTGATAACAAACAACATGCCCCATATCTAGATTTCCTAACACTACCCAAGTCTAGAAGGGCAGCTTCTGGTTACCTTACAAGATCCCGGACAGCACCTTTGCCGGATATTCGGTCAAGGACAGCTGCTGCCTTCGCCACACAGACTTTCATGTGTTTCAAACCATTTGTGTTTTTCAAATCCCCCTCCCACATCCGTGTTAACCATCTGCTTGTGTGCATCGATGCAACATGGGGAGGAGAGGGAGATGTGTTGGTGTGGCAGCACGCACAATTGCACATCGAGGTTCCCTCGCTTCCCCTTGCGTCGAAGGCGATCTACGATGAGATGGTTTGCCAGCGAACCAGAGTGTGTGAACTTGCAGAGCTGTGTGCCGTCAAAATAACCTTGAGGCGACAAAATTGTGGGTCCCTGGCTTTCGTTTACATGCAGTGTGCTATCAGTAATGTTAAGTTGTGGGTGAACATATCAGACGACACAGCGAATCTTCAAACAGCTCTTGTTTATTCACAGGCCAGGACAGAACTGAACTGAAGGGTTCAGTCAGCCTGCTTATATAGAGCTCCAGTACAACGTTACTGTAACAACTTTCTAATACTATCCAATCACTGAATGTCACTTTCGATCCCTTATTTGCATAACTATCTACAGTATCCCCCTGCTGGCCCAGGGTGAGAACTTCTGTACATAACAAGTAATGTCAGGGCAAGGGTGGGTGGCTGAGGGAGAGAGAGGGGGGGGGGTAACCAAACTGACAGAACCGGAATCGGTGGCGCTCTCAAGAGTCCAACGCTTTTCCCAGCCAGTGTCAGTGATACTGACCTAGATGGATTGGTGGTTTAGCTCAGTGGAAGGCAACTTCCCTTGTGAACAAAGGACTTGAATCTTACTTGGTCCCCCAAGCTCAGCTGTCTTCCATACAGTAGGATGCAAGTTCGATTGCACGCCTTCCAACGTTTCCCCGATGAAAACAAGGACGTCCTAAGGAAAAGCGGGACATTCCAGGGTCAGATCAGAAACCGGGACGGCTTCTGTAAACCCAGGACTGTCCCTGGAAAATAGGGACACTTGGATGCTTAAATATACATTCCCAAAAAAGCCTGAAGAACTATTGCTAGGTTTGATAGGAGAGGATATTAAGAGGATGGACCAAAGATTATATATGTGTGCTGCGACAGCTGCCAGAGTTTTGATAGCTCAAAAATGGAAAGCACAGGAGATACCGACTGTGAAGGAGTGGCAGACAAAGTTGGTCGAATACGCGGAATAGCAAAACCAAAGGATTCGTAGCCAGGAGGAAACAAAGCACCAAAAAGAATGGAGTAAATTTATGGTCTATATAAGTGAGAACTGTAGAAATTTGAAGACGTTAGCAGGACTGAAATAAATCTTATGTCATGGTTTAGTTATTATTAAGAACTGTGGATTAGTGATTGGAATAAGAAAACCTGCGGAAGGGAAGTCAACTGCGCTACGGAGCGTAAAGTAAGGCAGACGTAAAAAGATTTGAAATATTTGTGTATTTTGTTGGTGTATTTGAAATGAAAACTTAATAAAAAGCATTTTTAAAAAAGAAAAAGGAAATAGGGACACTTGGAGGGTCTGCATGGCATCGCCATGGAAGAGATGGAAATCTCTGGCAAGGCGCTTCTGTCAGTCAGTGCCGGCAATATTGAACTAGATGGACTGGGGAAGCTGGTCTGGCTCTGTAGAAGACGAATTCCTATGTTCCTGTGCATAAGAGGGAGTCGCTGGCAGTGCCCCCCCCCCCCCGGTTAGTGTGTGCTGGGTTTTCGGCTATCCTCACAACTTCGACCCACAATTTGACCACTCCGGGGTGGGAATCTGTGGGTTCTGGGGAGCAGAGAAGGCAGTGTCTGCCTGGCGGTGTGACCCCCCCTTCCTATCTCTCATGTTTATTTAAACCTGTGCTGTTGTTTTGTCTCTGTTCCCTCCCCCCTCCTCCACCCCGCCCCGCCCTTGCAGAGCCCAGAAGTAAGTTACTGTTCCGCCAGAACTTTTGTTTGACTGCATGGTTTGCCCGTCTTTGTCTCCACCCCTCCGGGAGGCCACAAACGCCGACCCCATTCAGACACACACGCATGCCCAAGTTACGCACGCATAGGTGCACATCCCAACCGCGCTTCACCCCGGCCAGCCCTCGGCTAACCCAAATTTCTCTCCGTTTCGAAATGTGGACAGCGAGAGAGAGAGAGAAAAGAGAGAGAGAGAGAGTCAGAAATTTGGGGGTTCGTAGCATGCCAGTCCACTGCCAACTTGCAAATGCCGTGTTTCTCTTCCCTCCCATCTCTCAGCACAAGCTGTTTCCATCTTGCCTGTGTCTCGCGACGTTGCTCTGATTTAGAGTCCAAGCAACGCGAGGGCTTTCTGGACCCATCCATAAGTGGGAGCGTCATTATGTCTCCATCTCACAGCACCCACATGGACCCTCCTGCCTGTATCGGGAAGTTTTCAATGTCTGACGTTTTACTATGTTTCCATAAGTGCTGTAAGCAGCCCAGAGCGGCTGGGGGAACCCAGCCAGCTTGGCAGGGCATAAATAATAAAATTATATTATTATTATTATTAAACTGCTCCCTCCAATGTCATCATTGCACTGCCCATCAGCCTGGCAGATCCCATCTGAATTATTATTATTATTATGAAGGTAAACGGCATTTCCGTGCGCCCTGGCACTTGTCACAGTGTCCCGTTGCGCCAGAAGCGGTTTAATCCTGCTCGCCACATGACCTGGAAAAGCTGTCTGTGGTCAGACACCGCTTCCCTCGGCCTGAAAGCGAAGATAAGCATCAAACCCCATAGTCGAATTTGAATGGACTTAACCACCCAGGGGTCCTTCGCCTTTAGCTATTGCTATTAGTATTATTATGGGACGCAGGTGGCGCTGTGGGTTAAAGCCTCAGCACCTAGGACTTGCCGATCGAAAGGTCGGCGGTTCGAATCCCTGCGGCGGGGTGCGCTCCCGTCGTTCGGTCCCAGCGCCTGCCAACCTAGCAGTTCGAAAGCACCTTCGGGTGCAAGTAGATAAATAGGGACCGCTTACTAGCGGGAAGGTAAACGGTGTTCCGTGTGCTGCGCTGGCCTGCCAGAGCAGCGATGTCACGCTGGCCACGTGACCCGGAAGTGTCTGCGGACAGCACTGGCTCCCGGCCTATAGAGTGAGATGAGCGCACAACCCTAGAGTCTGGCAAGACTGGCCCATACGGGCAGGGGTACCTTTACCTTTACCTTTATTAGTATTATTATAGCGCTCTCTTCCACAGGCCACAACCATGTAAACTCAACATTAAAAAAATGGGAATCAAAACCACAACTGGGGTGTCAGGATAATGCAGCACATTTTCCGCATGTGACAAAAGCTGCGCAATGAAGGTGCCTTGTAGATCTCTGTGGGGAGGGAGATACGCAGTGCAGGGGCTGCCACAGAGAAGGCAATCTTTCTCCCCAAACTGCCACCCTGCCAAAAAAAAAAAGACTTCTGCAGGCAAGAGGGCCACCTGTGCTGTGTTTTCCATTAGCAACAATGGCTATGCACTGTCTAGACAGTAATGCTAGTTGCTAGAAACCCAAGGGAAGGGCGAGTTGGTTCTGTGTTCGAGTCCTGGTTGAGAGTCTCCCATAATGGGCATCTGGTTGGTCTCTTCTTATGTTCTTAACACATGAGAGTCCTCAGTGTCTCAGATATTTGGGACCTGAGTCGTTTAAGGGCTGTAAACATAGCGTGAGCATCTTCAACTAACTCAGGGAATGTGAGATGATTCTCTCTCCTGCCCCACAATTGCTTTCCCAATTTCCTGATAAGCCAGGCTGGGAAAGGTCCATTGAATCCATCCTTCGGACTGCCACAGGAGTGTGCCGATCAGTGATCACACAGTTCAAAGGTGGAGTTAACTCTTTATTAGCAAAAACACCATCTCCACAGATGTGGCTGAGTTCCAGGCCTGATGAGGAGAGCATCTCATTTCTGGTGGTCTTCCTCCATAAAATTCAGTTGCTGAAACTGAAAGTCCCCACCCCCTCCTCTCCAGGGCTTTCCCCCCAAGCAATCAGAGACTGCTCCTGTCATCAGCCAACCTCTTCTCCACCCTTTTCATGCCTCTACTAGTTCTGGGAGACAAGCGGGGAGGAGATCTGGTTGCCGCACCTTCCCTGCCCTGATGCCTTCCAGATGCTTTAGAAGACACATCCATCCAGTTTGCATTTTCATGCAAATATGACCTGATCCGTGCCCCAAAACCAATATGCGAGCCAAGAAGACAGCTCTCAGGGTGAATCAGACTAATATTTAAAAGTCCCTAAAAGTGGTAAGGGGCATCTAAATTTTCTAGTGGGGTGAAAACCCAACAGGAGTTCTCAAAAGCTGAGTAGCTGACCTCCGAGGCTCAGCTGAGACAGGAAGGTCTTCTCCAGTCCCCCAAAACCTAGAGGTGGAGGGTCACTCCATGGTGAGAGAGGGCTCTTCTCTAAGCTGTCTCCACCCAAGCCAATGGTCTCGTGTCATTGGCTCCCTGCATGCCTGGGTGTGTGTGTGTTTGGATCCAGCAAGGTGGGATCTGGAATTGTGTGCATGTCTGTCTATGGTGATGGCGGGATCTCTTTCTCTCATCTCCTGTCTGTTCCACCTGCAGACCGCTGCTTCGTGCAACCCCAACCTCCTGCCTGCCTCCCCACATCTTTAATTCCCACTATCGTTTTTGCTTTCCAGGTTGAGGAGCGTGAAAATGGAACAGAGGAAGCTCAACGACCAGGCAAACACCCTGGTGGATTTGTCAAAGGTGAGCCACGCCTGGGTGACGGAAACATCAAGCAATGTTTGGGTCTCTGCTTGAAGTAATCACTTTGGGTTGGGGTAGAGGCTCAATGCCAGCGGTTGGCAAGGTTTACTCCGTGATTTCCAGCATCTGCCTCTGCGCAGACACGATTTTTGGCATCTGCACATGCACAGAAGCGATTTCCAGCTCTGCAGAAGCGAGTCCCTGTGTCACGCTGCACCAGTTTAGTGCAGTGCGCAGGGACTTGCCAAGCGGGCGGCTAGATTCGGGGGCCAGTTAAATGACCCCCGTGGGCTGCTTGTGGCCCATGGGCCTTAGGTTGCCAACCCCTGCTCAATGCAATTCTTATCAAAGGTAAAAAGGTAAAGGGACCCCTGACCGTTAGGTCCATTCGTGGCCGACTCTGGGGTTGCGGTGCTCATCTCGCTTTACTGGCCGAGGGAGCCGGTGTACAGTTTCTGGGTCATGTGGCCAGCAGGACTAAGCCGCTTCTGGCGAACCAGAGCAGCACACGGAAACGCCGTTTACCTTCCCGCTGGAGCAGTACCTATTTATCTACTTGCACTTTGACGTGCTTTCTAACTGCTAGGTTGGCAGGAGCAGGGACCGAGCAATGGGAGCTCACTCCGTTGCGGGGATTCGAACCACCGACCTTCTGATCGGCAAGTCCTAGGCTCTGTGGTTTAACCCACAGCGCCACCCACATCCCTATCTTATCAAAGGGAGCCAGCCCTTTATTCAGAATCATGAAGACTAGGTTCTTGCTTTATTTATAAGGGGAAGTTGCAGCATCTGTTCTACAGGGAAAAGGTTCCAGGTTTAATCCCTGATATTGGAAGGGTCTGGGAATGTCCCGCTGCTTGAAACCCTGGAGAGCTGTTTTGGTGGAAATATTGAGCTGGATCAGTGGTTCCCAAAGTGGACAGAGGAAGGACAGAGGAAGGAAGGAAGGAAGGAAGGAAGGAAGGAAGGAAGGAAGGAAGGAAGGAGGGAGGGAGGGAGGAGGAAGGAAGGAAGGAAGGAAGGAAGGAGGGAGGGAGGGAGGGAGGGAGGAGGAAGGCAGGCAGGCAGGCAGGCAGGAAGGAAGGAAGGAAGGAAGGAAGGAAGGAAGGAAGGAAGGGAGGGAAGGAAGGAAGGAGGGAGGGAGGGGAGGGAGGGAGGGAGGGAGGAAGGAAAGAAGGGAGGAAGGAAGGAAGGAAGGAGGGAGGGGGAGGGAGGGAGGGAGGAAGGAAGGAAGGGAGGGAGGGAGGGAGGGAGGAGGGGAGGGAGGGAGGGAGGGAGGGAGGGAGGGGGAGGGAGGGAGGGAGGGAGGGAGGGAGGGAGGAAGGAAGGAAGGAAGGAAGGAAGGAAGGAAGGAAGGAAGGAAGGAAGGAAGGAAGGAAGGAAGTGTGGTGGACTGGCTGGATGAGAGGCACCAGCTTTGGACCACCCTAGGAAACCCTCAGGATAAGAAGGCTCAGAGCCAGGGGGCAGAAGAGGTAACAGGGCTTAGTGAGCGGGGGGAGTGTGGCAGAGAGAGGGCCAGAATCAGAAGAAGAAGCGGAGGCTGGAGAGGAGGGAGGCCAAGAGGCAGAGATGATTCAGGTGGATGAAGAGTCCTGGTGGTCTCCCCCTCCTGCTGTGACCAACTCCCCTCTCCACTGGTCTCCCAGAATGTCAGAGAAATAAGTGGCTAGAGCAACCCAGTCAGATGGGTGGTGTAATAATAATAATAATAATAATAAAAATAAAAATAAATTATTACAGTGGTACCTCGGGTTAAGTACTTAATTCGTTCCAGAGGTCCATTCTTAACCTGAAACTGTTCTTAACCTGAAGCACCACTTTAGCTAATGGGGCTTCCCACTGCCACCGCACCGCTGGAGCACGATTTCTGTTCTCATCCTGAAGTAAAGTTCTTAACATTTCTGGGTTAGCGGAGCCTGTAACCTGAAGCGTATGTAACCCAAGGTACCACTGTATACAGTGGTGCCTCGCAAGATGAAATTAATTCGTTCCGCGAGTTTTGCCGTCTTGCGATTTTTTTCATCTTGCGAAGCACGGTGTCAGGAAAGTTTTGGAAAAGCTTCAAAAATCACCAAAGTCTTTAAAAACCTCAAAAAAGGCTACCACACCGCGTTCTATGAGTTGCTCCTCGAAGTCAAGTCGCAACTGTATTAACGGTGTTAAGAAAAAGGAAACAAACTTGCAAGACGTTTCCGTCTTGCGAAGCAAGCCCATAGGGAAAATCGTCTTGCGAAGCAGCTCAAAAAACAAAAAACCCTTTCGTCTAGCGAGTTTTTTGTCTTGCGAGGCATTCGTCTTGCGAGGTACCACTGTATATTGTATTACTATAAATAAGTGGGGCCAGGGTGGGGGTTTGGAGCTGCCCCGTTCTCTTCTGGTGCAGCGACCACCAACCCTTTCCCCCTTTCCTCTCCCTTCTCGCCAGACGCAGAACGTCATGTACGACATGGTGTCCGAGCTGCAGGAGCGCAACGAGGACCTCGAGAAGCGCATCAGCGCCCTGGAGGGGAAGATCGACATGCTGGGCCTGACTCTGCATGCGCTCCCCAGCCTCGTCAGCCAAGCCATACGCCAGCAGCAGCGGGCCCTGCCCCGCACCTGCGGCACCTCCAACAGCTCCGAACGCTCCTGCTGGACTCCCACCCGCCGGCGGAAGTCTCCCTCCACTGCCCCTCACACATCCTCGGACAGCGGGTGATTCAGGGGGGGGGCGGGCTCGCGCACCGGGGGCACCCATGGACTCATATATGGCCATTGTGTGGCCGATTCCCCTCTGAGCTTTTTTCTGGAAAGCCCTGTACACAGACCTCCCCAAGTCCGCTGAGATGGGCCCGTGCCGCGGAAGACTCGTCGGGCACAGAAAACGGATTCCGAACCCGGTTCCAATGTAACATTATGCAAAGCTGGGGGTGTTTCTTTTGTTTGTATGTATGTATGAGGAGAGGGTGGGAGCAGGGCTTTTTCTTCCTCAGCCGGAATTCGCTGGAACTCAGTTCCGGCACCTCTCAGGCGGACGCCATTGCCATTCTAAGAAAACAAAGGGAGGCGTTCATGGTGAGTGCTGGCACCTCTTTTTCTTGAAAAATAGCACTGGGTGGGAGGGGAATCCCATGTAGAAATTGCTCAAATTCACAACAATCCCTTTTTTAAAAAAAGAATCACTTCTCTCCCTTCCAACGTCAGCCGTTTGGTCCTTAGCCATGCCCTCCACGGGAGCCATCTTGTTCCACGGTCTCAACATTCAGCCTGGCAAGGGGTGAGACTAGATGGGCCTTTGGTTCCCTTCCAACAGTACGGTTCTATCGTCCTGTGATTCCAAATGGGGACCTCTTAGGCGACAGTCTCCCACTCCACTCGCTCGTTTGCCTTTTCTCTTCCCAAACTGGAGAGAAATGCAGGCAAATGCCCATTTCTCATAAAACTATATATGGATTTAACATGCTTTGGAGCCATACATAAGTGCAAGGGGGTCTGAGGCAGCTGGGACCAGTGGCACATGTGTGCTTTTTTTTGTTCTCCTTCCAAATCCCGTTCTGTTTCCTGGAAGAAAGAATAAGACCTGTTTTAAAGCAGGAGCAGAGACCTCATCCCGAGGGCCCCATTTGCTGCTGGTAGGGCTTCCGGGGGCCGCATGCCACTGTTGGGTGAGGCCGGGGGAGGGTTGAGTGGATAGAGCAATTGATGCAAAGTTTACTTTTATGCAATTTGCTGGTTTCTACGCACACTACATCTGTCATCCAGACATGCAAGGGGCATCATCAAAATTAAAGGACGCATCCTGGGCAGACAAAAACACTCAAGCCAGGTGCAGAACGAGGGTCAATGAGGGGAGAGTTCCAGGGGCCAAATGGAGAGGCTTGGGGGGCCACATCCATCCCCTGGACCAGAGGTTCTCCACCCCCTGTTATAAAGAAATAAATATTGTGGGCTGTATCTAATGTTAATCCAGCTCAGAGTAAACTCACTGAAATTAATGAGCAAGCCCATTCGCTTCAAGAGGTCTAGATAGTTGGAGCCAACCCAGGGGTGCAGCATGGGGGTGCATTTGCCCCAGGCGCACAACTTTGAGGGGGCATAAACGAGGCACCCCCATGCAGGCAGTGTGGCCTGGCTCATCACTCCTCTGTGCCTGCCATGGGCTGTGTCAGCTGGCTGGGCTCCCCACTGCGTGGGCAGGCAGGCGGCTCAGTGTGACCCGGGCACTGGCAACTGCCACTACACCACTGAGATGTCCCTCCAGGCACCTATTGGCTAGTGCCTGTAACATCAATAGTGGCACACAATTCCTAATCTGATCCCCACATCCGCACAATAGCAGGTTTGTTAACAGCTTTTAAAGGGTTCTTTTATTATTACTTGATTATTATTATTTTTTAAAAAAGTAAGGTGATAGACACTGAAAAGGGGGGGGGGGAATCTAATGTCGGAAAGAGACAGAACATTCCACTTTCCCCCAGCAATAGAGTGAATGGCTTCTGGGTTTGAAAAACCCGTAAAATCAAATAATAAGGCTACAGGCCTCTCCTTACTCACCCAAGCAAGCTCACTGTCTCCTGTAAGATCCTATAAAATCTGTGGCACCAACACACCAAAGGGAGCTCTTGCTGATGCAATTCCAAATGTAATCTAAAGGGGGGTGACAGCAGCGCTTTGCACATGGGCAGTTGAAGCGATGTTACATTGGAAATCAGCCCGTCTGAACTGGGGGAAGTCAAGTCTCCTGTCTCCAATACAAGGTCATTGGGCAGAAAGCGGTGGATGTGGGGCTCTGACGTCCTTCTGCCTTTGTGGACGCACAAAATGTTTCTGGGGTCTTCCAAACATGGGTTCTCCTCCTCTTTTGTAATCTAACCGCCCTGTTTCCTCTCATACGCACACAAACACATTCCTCATGCTTTGGTTTCGAAGACTTCCGGTTTGATCTCTTAAAACACTGTGCTTCTTTCTAGCTCTTGAATCGATCGATCGATTGATCGTGAGTGTGTGTGTGTTTTGCAGGGAGGGTGGGGAGAGGCTGAAATTTGGTGGGGGGGGGGAGGATTGCAACCCAACCTATTTTATAAGAATTAGGAAAGCACGGAGGATGATCGAAGTTTTGTTTTGTTTTTGTATTAAAGGTTCTCTTGATTTCAAATTGGGTTTGGTTTTTAAGGATAGCTTTAAGAACATAGAATCATAGGGGAAATGTAGAGCTGGAAGGGACCACGAGGGTCATCTATTCCAACCCCCTGGCATGCAGGAAACAGGCCCAACATGGGTCTCGAACCCACAACCCTGAGATTAAGAGTCTGCTGCTGAGCTACCTGGAGAACATACGACAAGACTTTCTGGTGTGGGGCAAGGCACACCCACATCAGTCTTTTCACGTCCCACCAATGGGATCTGGGGAGGTTCACAAAAGTGATAAACCTCCCCTTTTATCTCAAGGTAGACCCTCTCTGGATGAAGAGGCTCCACTCAGCTGTCACAGCTGGCAACCACTGCAAGACTTTTCCTGCTCTGTGATATTGCGCACTCCCCTTTTTGGAAAGTCGAGTCCTGCAGAATCAGACCAAAGGACCATTTGCTCTGGAATCATAGAGTCACAGAATGGTAGAGTTGGAAGGGATTCCCGAGGGTCATCTAGCCCAACCCCCTGCAATGCAGGAATCTCAGCCAAAGCATCCATGACTGATGGCCACCCAACATCTGATTAAAAACCTTCAAATAAGGAGAGTCCACAAGGGAGTCCAGTCCACTGTCAAACAGCTCTGACTGTCAGAAAGTTCTTCCAGATGTTTAGTCAGAATCTCTTGAAGCCATGGGTTCGAGTCCTACCCTCTGGAGCAGGAGAATCGAGCTTGTTCCTTCTTCCATGTGACAGCCTTGAAGATATTTGAAGATGGCTCTCATATCGCCTCTCTTTTCCAGGGTAAACATACCCAAGCTCCTTCAACCGTTCCTCATCAGGCTTGGCTTCTAGAATCCTGTCTTCCAAAGTGGCCTCAGGGCAAATGCAGGCAGCAGCCCTCCCTTCCTGTTGTCCTCAACTCATTCCAGCATCAGTGGTAGACTACTTATAAACAGGGAGTAGTGGCAGACTTGGGGTCTCAAATTTCAGTTGTGCCCCTTGTGACACCAAGGTTCAGGGGTCTCCTACACACACACCTCTCGCCTTTTATTCTAGACATCATAGTTGCAGCAGCCCCTGTTATTCTTTGTCATGGGCTGACACAGTGACCCACTTGGAAAGGAAGACTGGAGATTTCCATGTTTTTAAGTATCCTTGGAAAGAGCTTTTGCCAACCTAAACCACATGGGCCATTTTCTGCCCCAGTGCGAGTGCTAGAAAAGAACGATTCAGCCTTATAGGCCTCTCCCATCAGGGAAAGGTTCGTAGCTCAGTGGCAAATCACCCGTTTGGCATGGCAGAAGTTTTCAGGCTCAATACCCGGTGGTAAGAGTGGGAGAGACAATCCTGAGCTAGATGGACCTGTGCTCTAACAGCTTCCTGGGTTCATTTGAAGAGCGGGCAGAGCTCAGCATATCATGGCTAGTACCTGTAACATCACCAACCCACCTTCTCTCACCCACCATTGATCTCCAGAGCAATTTTGCCACTGGTGGAAAAGGGGGCAAAGGTGTGCAATGAACAACCATTAATATAACCGGTGATGGTTATTATTATTATTATTATTATTATTATTATTATTATTATACCCCACCCATCTGGCTGGGTTTCCCCAGCCACTCTGGGCGGCTTGCAGCACAATCTAAAAACATCAAGCGTTAGAAACCTCCCGATACAGAGATGCCTTCAGACGTCTTCTAAAAGTTGTGTAGCTCTTTTATCTCCTTGGCATCTGGAGGGAGGGCGTTCCACAGGGAGGGCGCCACTACCAAGAAGGCCCTGCGCCAGGCTAATAATGAAACGAGAGGGAGAACGCGGCAACAAGGCAGGTGACGTCCATTAGGAGCAACTGCCACAGAGGCACAGCGAAGCCCACCTGTGCAAGGAGCTTGAACGCCACTAGGGCTGAGAGACGCTCTTGTCTGAAACCGTAGCCACTCAGACAGTGCAGACCGTGCTTGAGCTGGATGCAACAAGGGCATCTCTGAATAAGCCAGTTTCCAAGGTCCCTATTGCACAAGAACACCATTGAGAACAGAAGCCCTGAATGAACCACAGCTTTTCGTCAAGGCTGAAGGTGCACAACTTTTGTCTAGAGTCATGCAGTCCGTAAGAACATGAGAAGAGCCTGTTGGATCAGGGCCCATCTATTTTTGGAAAAAAAAACATTTTTAATTAACTTTTCAAATTTTACAAATTCTTTTACACAACCGTCAGAATACATATCTCATCTCCGTTGACCTCCCACCCAACCATCAAGCATACGCTTTAACATAACCGTGATGTTTTTTTTCAAATATTCCACAAAACATTGCCGTTCTTCAAGAAATGTTTTCTTTGTTCTGTTCTTGAATTCTCACAGTTCATCTAACCATCACAGCATATCCCGTCTTCATAAGCCATTCTTTTTTTTTTGACAATAATATTTATTAATTTTCATCAATAGACATAACAAAAAAGAAAATATACAACAACACAATAGAAAGGTGAAAAAGAAGAAGAAAAAATAACAAACTTAAAATACCTAAATAGGGGAAAAAAGAAACTCGATTAATTAATTATAATCCATTTTCATAAACATTTTGGTTGACTTCCTCTAATCTCCTCCATCTGAATTTCCTCTTAATTTGAATGTAGCAGTTTCCAATATCATTATTTCATAAAACAATATTACAGTCGTATTCCAATTTCTTTACCTTTCTTATAATACATTTTCTTATTTATATATTTAAGTCTAATTTAATCCTAGGCCTGATTGGTTCTTTCAAGTGGTTATATATCTTTAATATTAGAATATTTGTTCAAATAGTCTTCAAATTTCTTCCAGTCTTCTTGGTAGTCCTCTTCTTTCTGGTCGCGGATTCTCCCAGTGAGATCAGCCAGCTCCATAAATTCCATCATCTTCATCTGCCATTCTTCTACCGTTGGTAATTCTTGTGTTTTCCATTTTCTGGCTAGTAAAATCCTAGCAGCTGTTGTGGCATACAAAAATACTTTCACATCTTTCTGGGGCAATTCAGTACCTACTATCCCAAGGATAGTAAGCCATAAGCCATTCTTCTTCCTTTGGGCTTCCTGTTCTTTCCCATTTTGTGCATGGACTATTCTTGCCGCTGCGGTGGCATACATGAACAAATTAAACAATTCCCTTGGAAGCTGTGGTCTAATGGTACCTAACAGAAAGGCCTCAGGTTTCTAGGGGGCCACCGCTTTAAACTAGTCGAGCATCCTCTTCTCAGAGGCCCGCAAGCACGATCCGAGCACAGGAGCAACTCTCTCCTTGTGAGGTGCAGAGTGAGTGGTCTTCAGAAGCATTGCAGAGCACAGCTGTCATGACCAGGAGCCTTCTTTGGGCCTCTTCTCCCCCTCCTCTGTCTGTTGTTGTTTAGTCATTCAGTCGTGTCCGACTCTTCGTGACCCCCTGGACCAGAGCACGCCAGGCCCTCCTGTCTTCCACTGCCTCCCGCAGTTTGGTCAGACTCATGTTTGTAGCTTCAAGAACACGGTCCAGCCATCTCGTCCTGTGTCATCCCCTTCTCCTTGTGCCCTCCATCTTTCCCAACATCAGGGTCTTCTCCAGGGAGTCTTCTCTTCTCATGAGGTGGCCAAAGTATCGGAGCCTCAGCTTCACGATCTGTCCTTCCAGTGAGCACTCAGGGCTGATTTCCTTCAGAATGGAGAGGTTTGATCTTCTTGCAGTCCATGGGACTCTCAAGAGTCTCCTCCAGCACCAGAATTCAAAAGCATCCATTCTTTGGCGATCAGCCTTCTTTATGGTCCAGCTCTCACTTCCATACATCACGACTGGGAAAACCATGGCTTTAACTATACGGACCTTGGTTGGCAGGGTGATGTCTCTGCCTCCTCTGTCTAATCCTCTTTTAAAGCCATTTGATGGGAGCTGTAGCCGAACCATTTTGGGAAGACGCCATATTGGCGATCCCTGCACTCGTTTGGCATCTCGGAGTTCGCCAGCTCTGCGGATAAACTGATGTTCCCCCCAATAATTAGTCATAATTGCCCAGGGTCCTCTAAAAAGAACTGGGAAGAATTTGGATATGATCCTTAGAAGAAGAGCTCTGTTTAGACCTGTATGCTTGCCTGCCTGCCTGCTTGCTTGCTTGCATGTGAGAGAGCATAGCTGTCAACATTTTCCTTTTTTAAAGGGAAATTCCCTTATTCCGAATAGGATTCCTCGCAAGAAAAGGGAAAAGTTGACAGCTATGGAGAGAGAGAAAGAGAGACCGTGGAAAGCTGTTTTGGTATTAAGGGCTACCTTCTTCTTCTTCTTCTTCTTCTTCTTCTTCTTCTTCTTCTTCTTCTTCTTCTTCTTCTTCTTCTCCTCCTCCTCCTCCTCCTCCTTCTCAGTGCTTTTTTTCTGGGGGGGGGTACGTAGGGGTAGGCATACCCCTAAACATTTTGTGAATCTGCGTTTGGCCTCATTGAGGGGCAGTATTTCAATATGAGTAGGAAAATGAGAGTACCCCTAAACATTTTTTAAGAAAAAAAGCACTGATTATTATTGTTGTTGTTTTATTATTATTATTAAATTTGTATACTGCCCTATACCTGCAGGTCTCAGTGCAGTTACAACATAAAACCACAACATAAAACCACAAAATAATAAACCATATGAAATGACACCCCATCCAGACTTTTACAGAATTTAGCATTTAACACTGTGGTTTAGTTCATAGGGCTATTCTTAGATACGTCAAGGAGATTTTCCTTCACATTTTTATTCTTTCCTGCAAACGGTGTTGCAAAACAAACAGTTGTTTTGAAAGCTGGACGTAGCATGGTGGCAAAAAAAAGAATCAGTTGCCTAAGTGGCCCCTGTTTTGTCCCTGCTCTGCTATGCATTCAGCTCCTCCGCAATTCAGAACTGGGACCAGTGCGTCTTTGAGCTCACCCCAGTTTATTTGCACCCCTTCCATGAGACATTGCAGAGGAGTCGCGAGTGCCGTTGCACTGAGATGGTTTTCGGTGCAGCGGTTTTCTAGTGTGCTCAGACTGCACCTGCGTGTCAGTAAGAGGAGAATCACACCCCCCCCCCAAAAAAAGGAGCAGCACACAATTGCATCAGGATTGCTTTATTGTAGTGTTTCACGATCAGTGTGCGTGGAGAAGGGAGGGATGAATCAGGCAGGAAAGAACCAGACGTGGTTGCAAGCAAGGCACACGCAGGAACTCTGGAAATAGCAAAGAAGGGACGTTCCAGGCCTGTTCCACTTTGGAAACGAGGCCAGATCATCTGGGACTCCAAAATCTGAGGCAAATGTCAAGGGAGCATCCCTAGATGAGGCAGAGATCAGAAAAGCCTCATGACTGAATCTTAGCCATGCCGACTCAAGAAGCGTGTCCTACTGAATTTGGTGGGGTGAACATTCAGGTCAATGGGGCTTAGGGTGGCTGTCTCATCTGCTACCCTTTCCAGAGGTGTTGAACTACAATTCCCATCATCCCTGGCACCTGATGTGAGCCATGATCTACAACACCTGGAAAGGAGCCACATTGGCAAGCCGTGCTCTCTCGGCCTCTGTTTCTCCTGAGCGTAATATGGGAGTGATAGCACCATCCTACCTTGCAGACCACTGTAATGATTAGAACAAGAGAATATGTGTGATGAAGCACTTTCATCGTCATTGTCATTGTGTGTGTGTTGGGGGTGGGGTTGTT